GGTCCCCATCCTCCCTCCCTCTCTCCGCACCCACTGCGCACTGGCTCCTCATCCTCCCTCTCCCTCTACACACCCACTGCGCACTGGCTCCTCATCCTCCCTCTCCCTCTACACACCCACTGCGCACTGGCTCCTCATCCTCCCTCTCCCTCTTCATGCCCACTGCACACTTTGCAGCCACCTACCTTCCGTCTCTGAACTGGACTGCTCCAAGCACCTCTTGGAAGTCTCCCCAGCACCTGACTTTCTGGGACTGACTTATTTCCTTAGCGTTATGCCTTCGAGGTCTAATCACGTAGCATGAGTCATCATTTCTGCCTTTTATGTAGTTTTTCTTAGATACGGAGTTCCACTCGGTCAGAATGCTCCTGCCTCAGCCTCCCGGCTGGGCCCACAGGTGTGTGCCACCATGCCCGATTGCTCATCTTAGTCAGGGTCACGCGATTGTCCTGGACAGCTTTGAACTCTCAGTCTCCCTGCGTCTGCCTCTGAGCCGCTGGAACTACGGTGCCGGCCACCTGAGTTTTCAGAGTGCCTGAGCACCGAACCCAGGCTCCATGTGGCCTTGTCCTGCAAGTAGGAGCATCTCAGCAGCCTGTGCCCTGCAGGGGGCCTGCCTTGGACAATCCCGCATTTAAGTTCCACAGCTCCTTACTGATCCGTCCATGGACAGACACGTGGCTTGCGTCCACTTCGGGTATTGCGAATAAAGCCTCTTTGTCCTGCTTTTAATTTTCCTGTGTGTACATTCAGAAGGGAGGTTGCTGCATCATATGGTAACACTACTTCTCTTCAGTTTAAAATTTTTTCTTAGGCTTTTGCCATAGGGCATATATTCTCTCTGGAGAGAGACAGAGAGAGAGGGGGAGGAGTGAGAAATCACCCCCTGGGGATTGCTATGCCACAGTCCCTTCTCCATTCTCCTCCTGGGATTTTGGGCATGCCTGCACATGTACCTGGCATGATTTTCAAGCCTCCAGGTCTGGGACTTGAACCCTGGTTGGCCATGTGGAAATCCAGTGCCTTAATTGCTGTGCCAGTTGCTGGCCCCAGTAATACCTTTTCCAATGTTTGGAGGACTGGCCATAGAGTATTCCAGAGCAGCTACACTAGTTTCCCCTCCCACCAACAGCACAGTTGTTCCCTGTCCCCGCATCCTCACCAGCAGTGGTTATTTGCTGCTTTCTTGATAGACAGTCGCTCTCCTAAAGTGCAGGCCACTGAGATGTCTGCAGAAAGCAAAGCGGTGGCCTTGACGGGCACGGTCGGGGCCTAGTTGGGAAGCCAGAGGAAGCAGGCCAAGGAGTCAGGGAGGATGGAGGACAGCAGTCTGGAGCTGCGAAGGGGGAAGTCTCTGGAAGGTGGGTGGAGTGTCCCTGAGACGGCGCCACCGCGCTTGTGAACACAGGCCGGGGACAGTCACTTAGGGGGACGCTGCTGCATGGAAAGGGGATGCGGAGTGGGATGGAGAGAGTCAGGGTTCACGCAGCGGGGCTGGGTGAGGTCAGACCCGTCGGCTGCTCCTGGGAGGAAGAAGGAGTGTGGTACAGCAGCTGCACATGGCGGCCAGGTGCGGGTGGGTCCCTGTCTGATGGCCTCTGCTCAGAAAGTATGAGGCTGTGGGGACCAGCAGTTAGCGTAATGGCTATGTCGCTGGACTCCCACGTAGTCGACCACGGTTCGCGTCCCGGACCCGGTGGCTTAAAACACACACCGGGCACGTGTGCGTGTGTGCCCAAGATCCCGAGAGGAGAATGGAGGAGAAGGGATTGCGGCGTGACCATCCCCGCTGGGGGGTGATTTCTCGCTTTCTGTCTCTCTGTCTCTCTCTGTCTGTCTGGTGAGCGCACACGCCCTATAGCGAAAAACCTCTCAAAAAAAAAAAGAAAGTA